CAAAGTACACCAAACTTTAAATAATGAACAGTATGTTTACATAAATATATAGAATACTACTATGATTCAAAATTTTAGAAAAATACAAGATAAGAAATCAATTATGATCAAAAAGCAAAACTAAACCTATACTAATACCCTAAGAAAATTTTCACCTTTTCCATCACAGGCAACAATCTTGACTTTTTCCACTCGTACCAATTCTTGGACTTCTCTGAATTCTACATCTTTCAAGACAAAGGTCCAGACATTATCACAAAACCTGTAAGTGTTCAAGTGGCCTGCCTGCAACATGTTGTAATACAAAAATGTTTAAATTATTTACCAAACCTTTCAAAAACAACAGACTAATGAGAGTAATTTTGTTCCAAACATACTTAATTTAACATTAATACACCGCCAAAATGAAGATACATTTCTAGTTAGTTACAGCCTGTACTGTGCAAAAACTATTGTGACTGTTTGTCATCTGACTCTGGGGTTTTTGAAATACAACTTTTCAATATATACTACTAATTGCAAATAAAGGCTTAAAAAAACTTTAATAATATCCTTGAGTTTACAAAAAAGTATCAGTTTACTTTCACAAATTAGTAACACAACATCTTTTTAAAAGCTGGAAAGTTAGACATAGATGTATTACTCATAGTCTAAGTACTTGATAGAGGGAAATGGACTAATGGCATGCCAGAATTACTTGTACAAAATCAGCTTCAAACGTAAGTAATGTAAATTTAGAAAAATTGTTAAACTAATACTTTTGATTCAAAAACGAAAACAAGGATTATTGTTAGCTCTTTGGTTTGAATTGTTAAATGTGATTTATTAATCAAGAGTTCATACAGGTTAATCCCAGATTTGTAGGCTTAAGTGCTATTCTCAATTTCTTGGCTTATAACTGAAAATAATTTTGTGTCAGAAAATAAAGAAAGTTGCTAACCAAAGATATTATTGTAGGACATAGCAATTTCTATATCATATATTGTAAAAGTTATATAGCTGCTAGAACTCGAGAGTA